TACGCATAGAACCCCAGGAGAGATCGTCATGCTTATTGCGAGGGACCTGTTTGCCGAGCATAAAAGCCTACAGGGCGCGGGAACTGGTAGAGGCATTGAGTTTATGAAAACTTATTTTGCCAGACAAAATCCCTTGAAGTCGCCTTCAATCACAGTCTTTATTGTTTGGTGTTGATTAAGGACCCTAAACATGTATCTGTTTTACAATCAGTGGAGCACACCTTCGGAGCAGACTCATACGTGGAGCAAAAAAGGGTAAGGCGGTAAACTAAATTGGGTCGTAGACATGCAGACTTAACCCAAAACAGGACAGCAAAAGGATGAAGCAGAAAAACCAACCAAAGTCGGTCTCGCAGTTTTCCAAAGAAGGAAAAGGAGGGGGCGATGGCGGTGGCTCAAGCATTTCATTAGTGAAAGCCAGAATTTCTTCATCTGACAGATGTTCTACGTTTTCGGGCTTCCTCCAGGCTGAAAATAGCGGACAGAAAACTCTTACACACTAAAGGATGCATATGTTCTAATTTATTGATTGCGAACTAATGAACATGAGCGAAGAGCACAGACGACGAAAATAATAACATAGAAACGAGACTCACTGTTTTGTCTGCAAGTCGGGCCGAGCCCCGGGCCGTAGAGTATCTGCTTGGCGCGGGACAGTACTGGACTAGTAACCACCCTGGCAGAAGACGACTCCTGCAAGTGAGCATCGTTCTCCTTATTTCCCTCCGAGGTATCTGCCTCCTGAAGCGGCAATTGAAAAAGTATTACTCATTACGTCGAGCTGACGAGAAACTGTGATTCAGAAGACAGGAGAGATAAATTGCTAGAAAGTCACTAAATTCAAAACTGCAAGCAGACGGTAAACAGATGGGATGGAAATGTTTAAGAACGCTGGCTTTGACCACCTTCATTATCAGAAGTGCTACTGACGATGAAAACGAGGATCAGACTCGGACGTCAGTGAGATAGCGACTTTTCCGTTACAAAGAATGGCCTTCAATTTTCCTAAAACTAACATCAGCTATCAAGTACTTTGTGTACGCCATCGCCCATGAAGAAAATCGGCTCTCGACTGGGCAACTGGTATGTGCGAGTGCAATTTTGGAATTCCAAATTCCAGACTTGATTGTATTTTGAGAGCTATCAAAAGCTTACGGGTAAAATTAAAACTGCTGTTGAAAATAGGTCACGTTTTTTTCTACGTAAATTGGCGAAATTGTTTGAAAACAGTAAATAAGTTCCAGTAACTGCATTCTGGGTAGCAGCCTAAACTTTACAGTCAAAAAGCAGACGCCGTTTCATA